GAGAGAGAGGAGAAAATCGCTGTTCTCTCGAATCGAGAAAGGGGATCGAAGCGAGGCACAGGCCCCTGTAGGTGGAATACATCAAAGAGGAGCGAATCTCTCGGTGAAAAAGGAAAACGACGAAGAGCAGAAGGCTGTGTGTTCTGCTGGTTGGAAAAACGACGGATGTGTCGAGGACAAACGACGAAGAGAAGAAGAGGACCTATTGGATGACGTTGCCGAAGGGGCGCACGAGACGAACCAAGAGCCCCGCGCGAAACGAGTAAAAAGATGAACAGAGGCGGTGAGGAGGTAACGGGGACGAAGATGCGAGACAACCGACTACAAACCACGAGGAGTGTAAATAATACTAAGGCTGATTGTGGGCGTGGCTGACAGAACTCTAAAAACCTTCGACTATATATCAAAAGGTTTACTGCCCTCGGATGATGCTCGTATCCGAGGAGACCAGGGAAGAACAAATACTGGACTGCTCTTTCGCGAGGAGACGCGTGGTAGGCAGCAGCCAGTCCAAGTTGCCGAGAGACGAGATGAGAAGGGACCGGGAAGAGAGGGTTTCGGATGTTCGACTCGTGTAGTACTCGTTGTTTCTACACTCTGTAAGAATGATCGGTAGTATGTTACTTTTGCCTCTGTCGCTTCCTCGTACGGTAGGCTACGTCTCAATAATCCAACGTGCACGTTGCCTCTTCTACTCCTTCGTGGCGCTAGGCGATGTTACTCGAAGAAAGATGGAATCAAAGACGAAAGGCACTGGAAATAATTTTCTCGAAATTCGATTGACCACAGAGATTGCACGAAGAAACGACGAACCTGTGCGAAACACTTGACCGTGTCCGCGGCGGAGTCGCGCGAGAGCCAGCGAGAGCTACGTCTCAATACGCGGAGCGATACTATCCCGAGAGCGAGCGATTAAGAAGAATGGGTGTGGTGAAAGAGGAAAGCGAGGAAAGAAGAGCAGCGAAGAGGAGGAAGGAGGAGCGAGGAGGAGGGAGGTGTACATAGGCATGGCATCCACTCTCTCCTCGGTTCTTTTCAGACTGGACGCAGGGAGCTACCTCGATGGCTGCCCGCCTGCCTGTCTGCTTGCCTCTCCTGCCTGTTCGCCTGGCCTGGCCTGCCTGCTAGGCCCTTGCTTCTCTCTCTCGAGAGAGTCTCTCGATTACTTGAAAAACCGGATTCCTCCTGCGCGAAACTGTGTTTCCCGTCTCCTGTTTATGTACCAATACACGTCCTGAAACAATGTTGGATAGGATGCACGTGTACGATGCTCGGCTAACGGCGCGAGAATCGGGAACGGCGAAGGGACGATTTCCGTGGTCTCTGGAAGAAAAGGCACGCGCACACCGCGTCGTGGTAGAAGAAGAAGAAGGAAGAAGGGGTGTCGTGGAAGAAGGTACTTAAAGGGCCACGATGTCATCGTCCGTAGCCGGAGGGTCGGTGTTGGAGGGTTAAATCCAAGGGTTTTCGAGGGAGTCGGTGTCGAGGGTAAACATATACATACCTAAGCGTAAATAACAAGCGTCACCAGAGAACGGTGGTCGAGTGTGGCGTAGGGAGAGGAGGATGGTCGATTTCTTCGTCGTTTGGTAAGAACAATGACGGGAACGTCAGGGAGGCAGAGGTCCCGTGGACAAAGGGCAAATTTTCCGAATAATTTCACGATGCCTCGTCTCGGTGGTCACTCGACCGGAGAGCGAGCGTAAGGGACCGTTTCTTCGTCTTTGAGGCCACCGGGTAGAAAAACGTACAAAGGGAGGAGATAGAGAGGTATACGCCGTTTATCCTCGAGGCAAATTATCGGGGAAATGGGAAAAATTATCATCGTTGCCTGTGAAAATAAGAATGTAAATAAATTTTGAAGGCTGCCGTAGAAAGAAGTAGAATTTAGAACGGGAATGAAACGATAAACATGGAACTGTGTAATTATAAAAGTTCCGGCCGGACTTTGTAAATTTTCGCGAAGATCGGCGAAACAGATCGAGATAGCAGATAGGAGAGAAGGAAATTCAGAGCGTGATCGCGGTGCATAACAAATTCCACCTGTGCAGACGGCTCGCCTTCCATTCATCTGTCCGTCGCGTCGGGCGTCGCGCAGGGAAGAGGGCGCAGAGACGTGACGAGGAGGAGGCCGCGGCTCGGAGAGATACGGGCCACTCATTTAGCCCGGCAATTTATTCTCGCGTTTTGTAATTAACACCAGAAAAGAAGTAGCGCAGTGGTCTCTTCTCCTACGGGCACGAGACGCGCGCGGCTAGAGGCTGCTCCTCCTCCTCCTCCTTCTTCCTTTTCCTTTGCCACAGCAGAAGAGAGAGGGAGAAAGAGTCGGACTGCTGATTTCGCTGCATCTCCACCTCCACCCGAAGGAAACACGCGTATCGTTATTAAGCGGCGAGGGAAGTCAAAGTCCTGAGAGAGCAGTGGATCAACTGTTCGGATGAGAAACCATGCGGATGAAAGGAGCAAAGAGGGAGGATAAGGGGTAACGAGAGAAAAAGTGAGATCCGCAGATATAGAAAGGGGGAGAGAGAGAGAGAGAGAGAAGGGCAAAGTGGAAAAAGAGGGACACGAGTAGCGAAGAGAATATGCGCGGTCAGAAGGGCTCTCTCTGCCGAGAGGACCAAGGCGAAGAGAAGCTGTGCGAAGAGGAAGAAGACACTCTCAGGTTGGCGGAGAAGAAGGGAGAGTAAAAAGGACGAGGGGGAGGAGGAAGGATGATGGAGGCCTCTCCTCCGCATGCCACTGCAGTCAGGTCAGACAGAAAGCGGTCTGTATAATTATGGGTTGTCACCTCATCAGCCACGAGAGGGGCAAGGAGGTGGCGGTATACGTCCGCGCGCGGGACCAGGGGTGGGAAGTTATAGGAGCGCGGTCTTTAGCTCAAATTGTGTTTTATCGTCCCTCGCGTTTCGCTCTATAGCTTGCTCGTCGCGATTCGGCCCCCTCTTTCTTCTTCGTTGCCGTTCTTCAAAATCGTTCGCTCTTCGGAACTGCACGAAGAAGAAGTTTAACGTTTCTAGATCTTTCTAGACCTTCTAGATTTCTATCTTCTACGTTTTTCGTGGTTCGTCGTAGACCTTCTATTTCTGAAACATCTTCGAGATCTCAGGAAGATCTTTCTTGGTATTCCCTAGACCTTCTAGATCGCGAAGATTTCCATTTGCAGAGGATAGATGTGTCCACGCCAGTGGTTTTCGGTGAGCCAGGTCGAAACGTCTTCATCGGTCGCAGCGTTACAACGCGGAGCGTATCACGACCGGCAAATAGCTATTGTCGGGGTTATAAAATTGGGGAACGTGCGTTTTAAGTATCCACGGTGATCGGAACGTGCCACGCTGCTCTCCCTTCGTTCACCACCCTTCGTCCCGCCGCGGCTCTCCCTAACCCTTTTTCTCTCACCGATCGTTTTCTCGCTCTCCTCTGTCCCCCGTCGACCTATCCACCTCTCTCCTTCACTCTCGCTACTCTCTGTGCAACACTGCTCTTTTCTCTCCTCGGTTGGTACACACGTAGCAATCTGCGAAAGGGCACATACACACAGAAGAGGAGGAGGAGGGGGAGAAGGCGGTGGAGGCAGGAAAAAAAAAGAAGGGTACTGCGCGAAAAGGTACTGAGGCTAAGTGGAGAGTTTAGAGGGATTTCATTAAATCATATGGATTGGGGATAATGTATGTTATTGAGCGGAGCGTTCAAATCGCGCTCTATAAGTTGTAATAAGTCCAATTTTAGGGCCGGTCATGGGCCGGGTCCCACAGTGGTTGTCAAACGATTCTGACCGCGATCGAGCCGGCGCTCGCGAACCGGATGGCCAATCGCGGGATCGACAGTCACTGTCTAGCGAACCCGCCACTTACTCGTCAAACGGCCAGCCGGTCCGCCGAAATCACTGCCATTTAGATAATTTGTAATGAATAGGCACCGCTCATTTTCTACCCCTTCCTTCTGCTCCCCTTCCCTCGCCGTCTTTCTGCCTGGCCGCGCCACTCTCTCTTTCGTTGCAACGCGTATACCCCCCATGCCCGTTGCGCCCTTCTTTTCTGCTCTTCTGCCCTACCCCCTCCCACCTTCCCTCACTCCAGCGATCCACCCAATTCACCGGTCTCTCGCAATAGCATCATCTTCGACGTCATCTTTGCACGACTGGAATCTCAAAATGGTACGGGCCCCTCGATAATCGCCGAGCCGTGCCTGCTCGCATGTTCGTACAAAGTTGCCGTTTCGCTCCTCACCTCGTGAGCAACAGTTTTATGCACGGGTACTCTCTGGGTTAGGGTAACAGAATTCGGGATTGGAAGTTTATGCTAATCGCGTCATCAGCTCGTTAATGTGCCTTTTCATGGTGCCGAAGAGTGAACGATACCGTGAAAGACCGTAGAGAGAAGTAGAGAAACTTTTCGTTGTATATGCGTGAGTATATTATTAACGGATAGAAGAGATTTTTCCGATTAAAACGAGTCCAAACACGACGTCATTTGGACAACTTACCAAACTTGCTCCGAAAATCGAAGTACACCCGGTATATTGCTGTTAGCGCAAAGTAATACGAATTAAGTCGTGTTTGGGCTCGTTTTCATCGGGAAAACCTCACCTATCCATCGATAGTGCGCCATTATTCCCAAAATGCAAACGACGAAGGATTAGCCGGTGTTACACTAACACAGCGACTATTGTGCCAAGGTGAGAAGTTTGTCCATAGCGGGATACAATGTCGTCCAAGTCCCCCTAACCGAGATCGTGACGCGTGCTCGCTGACGAAGATATATGGTTGGTTTGGAAACCTCGAAACACGGAATCCCGTCCAGCCGAATCCTCCCGCAAATATACACGTGGTATTTGCGGGGATATCACCGGACATCCCTCCCTAATACCTCGTTGTCAGTTGTCGTGCCGCGGTATACGAATCCAATCCGAATTCGCGATCTTTGGAATCACTTTCTCACTTAACCACAACACACAGCGGGTCGACGAAGCTAAAGTAGATCGTTCGATTCTGTTTTCAGACGTGCCGAGGATGGAGAAGTCGCCGCTGCTCGCGAACGGCTACAACCACCCGCCCACGCACCTGAGTCACATGCAGTTCATGCAACTAGGTGGACACCCTGGCGCAGGACACACCGCGATCCTGTCGCCGGCCAGTCTGCCGCATCACCTGCAGGCGCAGGCTCAGGCGCGCGCCGAGCAGGGCCTCAAAGTGAACCCGAACATGTCCAACATGGAGGCACTAGCGAGGTAAGCTTTCGACAATTGATTCTTCTACTTTTCGTGGTCCAATTGGGGGACTACTGCGAACCACAGCGAATCATCTAGCCGCAGGAGTCGTAATTTAGTGAAAGAGTAGGTAGATTGCGAGGTGAAAGGTGTAGATTCGTTTTGGGAGGTTCGATTCAAGTTGGTTTGGAGTCGCGGCGTTCGTCTTGTCCCGGGGTAGTTGTAACGAAGGGCCGGCGAGGCCAAAAGAATACAACTTTAAGAGGATTTGAAGAGACGGCGAAGCCGTGGAAATCCGAGGGGTCTCGACACTGCTTGATCTTTCCTTGCCCCTTCCTCCTCGTGCCCGTGGCGTACTCCATTCGAAGTCCGTTTCCTTGGGTGCGTCGCGTTCCTTCTAGGTCGTTTACTCGGCTCGTGTTACAAGCGCGACCTCAACCGAGTCACCCCTCTTCTGCTTCTTCTTCCGCGTGCTGTGACTTGACCCCGTCGTCGACCTGTCTGTCGTCCACTTTTTATCGAAAATTTCAACCTGGACTGGTGCTGCTGCGAGGACTGATCGAAAAATCTGACCAAATAGATCTCTCTGTGTGTGTGTTTTTTTTAACGCAAAGTGTAGACAAACTTTCCAGGGAACTGTTCGAATTTAGTTCTGGTTGTGTGTTTCGTTCGAGGGCACTTTTACCTCGTTTTAAACCGACGGAGGGAACAGGTTGAATGAAACTAGTAAATCCTCGAGGCGTTGCGGTCTCGGGACGTATATCGCGGATTACGCGCGCCCGTTTAGCCGTTCGAATAGGGAGAAACGAAGGCGGACGCGAGTCTATCGAAGGATCCCAGTTTCAGAGGGAGGGTAGTCTCCGGGCTAATCCTGGCATTTGTTAACGCGTTTCTAATAGATGCTGTCGGTGGTGCGCCCCGTTCTGGAACTCCTCGCAGCCACGGGGACATTAGACTCGCCTTAATTTTCGATTACATCCGCCAGCCGTAATTAGCCTCGTCCTATTCACCATTAGCCCGTTTCAGCCTCTTCTTCGTTTTGCGTCCCCCTTTCGAATTCTTGGAGATTTTAGATCGTCCAGCTTCGCCAATTCGTACTCTCAATTAGACGCGTGATTCGACGATGCTTCGACAATGATCAACGTGAAAAAGACAAGAGTATTTTGCGCCGAGTAAAATGCAAGGATGGAAAGTGAAAGAGGCATCTGCGTAGGAGAAGAGAAGTAAAGGAGCAGCGACGTCGATTCGTCTTGAGCAGAAAGGGCCAGCGTCGGTTAGAACAGAGAGCGTGTCCTTCCGAGGCTACGTGTATAATGACGCGACGAAGGCGGCGCCGCACGTTTCGCATTATGATTTCAGCGCTTTGCTTTTAATTAAAATGCAAATCTATCGTGGCAGAGGAGCGAGAGAGATCGGGAGGTAAGACGGATTACGTCTGGGGGCGGCACGACAAACACCGGAATATGATTAATTCAACGCAACCCCATCCCGGTGTACCGCGTCGTTGCCCTCTATCGCCACCCTCTAATTCAGCCCCGAGCCGTTGCTCCTTGCGTCGCGTCGTGGCGACCTACTCGACCGGTTCCCACCGCTTCTGGTCCGCCTTCGTTCCGCGACCGGAACTTTCTTCCGCCCCGAACGTCCACGCTACGTTACTCTCTCACTCTCCCCCCTTACCCTTTGAATCATTATTCGATCTTTCTCCGTGACTTTTTTTCGATTTCCACCGTGTTTTTTTTCTCTCTCTCTCTCTCTTCCTTTGACCCGTGTCGAGTAAATTAGCCAAAGCTGAGGGTCCCAGTCGACGTCTTTTTTAATCAGCCACAACTTCAAAGCAGCAACGTTCAGTTTCAGAGAAGATCGAATCAAAGGACAAACGAAAGACGAGACGGAACGAGGAGGACTCTTAATCAACTCCGCGGATCCACTTTCGTTCTCGAGGATGTCCCGTGGCAGGCTTATAATTAACCGATTCGCTTATCAACCTTTTCCTCCGTTCAACCCTGAATACCTCTTCGCTCTCTCGAGGTCGTGTCTCTTCTCTACGTCTCCGTCTCACCGTGCTTTCTCAAGTGCCGCATTTTTTATGATCCACAGGTCCGGGACGGTTTGGGAAAACTGCCGAGCCGCTTACGAGGACATTGTCAAACATCTCGAAAGGTAGGACAACTCTCTCTACTTAAACGAAATCCACGACGAAAACGAAACAAAAGTTACCAACGCACTAGAGAAAATTAGCCCGAAGCGTTAGGTAGTTCGGACAGATATCCATGTCTCGATACCTGTCGGATGAGAAAAATCAGCCACGGAACGCGGCCGGTGGGCTCGTGGAACCGTTCTGCGTCCGATAAATCAGCATTAACCGTTCCGCGTCGAGTTTCCGGCCGCGCGACAGGTTGAGTCCACGCGTGACGCCGTAATGCCCGCATGATTTGTACGGTGCGCGAGCCGCGTCCCACCCTTTCTCCCCCCCTACCTACCTACCTACCCCGCCGAACCCCCTCGGAACCCCGACGTCCTCAAATCCATCCAGCCGGCATAGCCGGGCTCGTCCCGTCACCGATACGAGGACACCAACGTCGACCACCGGCCGACCAACCCTCTGGTACCCGGTGTGCCCCTTTCACCCCCGCGCCAGGCCGCGCCACAGCGCGCCATCAGCCACCGTCATCCGCCACCGAGGTTTCCCCGTGATCCTAACCACTTGTCACTTCACGGCACGCAGATCATCGTCGCGACGTGCCCGTCCATCATTCGGGGATTAAATCATTCGACTGGCTCTGCGAAATACCCCCACTCCAACCCTCGCAACCATGGAATAGCCCGTTCCTTTTTGCCACGGAGAGGAGATTTTCTACCGTGCAACTGGAATTGGAAAGTCTACGGTGATTTTGGAGGTTTCGCCAAGTTTTTCGGAATTTAGGGTGGTTTTAGTGTTCTGCTTGTGTGAATTACGGGAGAAATTTGGAACACCCTGTGTAGTAGTGCTGCGCGTTTTTGTAGGAATTGGGAATTTTAAGGATTGTGAGGAGAAGTGACCTTGACCGAGACTAATATATTCGGGCCACGTTTCGACCAAACGAAAGGACAAAATCTGTGAAATTTGAAAAAATCGCTCGACTCTACCACGGTTTCCTCTCGCGAAAATTCATTACTCGTTCGCAGTGACACAATTACTTACTCCGCCTTCGCCTCGTGAATCCCGAACGGCAACGACGCGCGTATAAAGGGCTGATCGAGGCGTTAACACGTGGGTCGAAAATCGACACTTGACCGTCCCGAAACGTAATTTCCAATTCAAAGGCAATGACCATTGGCTCGCTCCTCTCCGCGGCTCCCCTCTGGCGCACGCGTCACCCCTGTCTCTCCCTCGCCACGCTCGTCTCGTTCTATTTGCTTTAGAGCCCGGCACTCTCTCTACCGGTCGAGTCGACTTCGTCAACCGGACAAACGCGTATTGTGATTTCAGCCTTTGACTGCTAGCCGTTCGATGGATATCGCACGAGGGGGTGGTGGCAAATGGTCGCGGCAGACCCGCGCGGAGAGCGATACAGAGGGTGGAATTGGCGCGGACGGAGGCTGGAAGGGACGGACGAGCGAGCAACGTGAATATTCATGCCGAGAACCCTAGACGAATTCGGACTTGTTGCGACTGACACTGATGTAAACCTTTGTTTATCCCGCGTGCAACGTAGCCCTTCGACCGTATCCCTTCCAAACCGTCTCTCGCTCCTCTCCTCGCTGTACACCAAGGTCTGAGTATTTAACTGCGAGTTAAATTCTGATTAATCGTCGGCAACGGGGTTATTAATTGTTTGTCCTTTTGATTTTACAAGCTCACGGAGCTCACGCCCCGTCTCGTTCACCCCCTCGCTTTCGTCCCTTGTATCGAATCTCTGCCGAGTTTCTCTCTTTCTGTCTGGCTTCGAGAGCCCACCATTTCCCCGGTTCTAATCCCGATGATTTGTTGCCGGTAATCCCGCAGTACAGTCCCCCGTGACATCGGGAACCCGAATTCCGCCGCGAAAGTCGCCCGGATCGTTTGTCTTTCCGCGGGTTTGGTTAATTAAATCTCATAAGCCAGAGAAGTCGTGATCCTCGAAAAACCTGCTTCCCCTTTTTCCCTCTCTTTTCCCAGTTTCAACTTTACCGAAAAAACTTCACAGTCCGGAGTGAAACACGCGCGATACACCGAGTAGCCGGTGAAAAGAGTGTCGAGAGGGTGAGAACGGAACAGAATCGCGGAAACACGCGAAACGACGGATCCATTCTCGCTTAGTTTCGGCCGGTGAGCTAAGTAATATTAATGGTTGGCGAACCGATGGCAGAAGGCGCGCGCCAGCGCGCTAGTATCAATGCGCTAATGTCGGCTTCCTGCCTTTAAAACTACCCCGTCATTCCAGGATAATTCGCGCGCGCATTGTCGTTCGCCATCCAGCCACGCAGGTTTTGCCAGCTTTCACACCCACCCCTCTTCCTTATCGTCCCTGTGTTACCTCGCAAAATTCTCTACAGCCTCCTTTCTCTCCTCGTTTCGGCGAATTCGCCAGCCTCCGTGGCACCGCCGCCCCCCGCCTTCGCGAGACGTCATTAATTACAACAACGAGGACGACAACGTCGACGAGCTTCTATCGTCGGGGACATCTGCTGGAAAATAATATTCATAAAGTTGAGCCCCGCGCGCCGTTACGAGCGTCGTTTTCGATCCATCTTCGCGCGTACAACATCCCCCAAACCCCCGTCTCGAAGCTCACGCAGCTACGTACGCTCGATTTTCCTCACCTTTTCGAGGCCTTTCAAGAAGGATGGAATCGTTTCTCTCTCTCTCTCTCTCTCTCTTTGGTTTTGTATTAAAGTTTGAGAAATATTGAAAAAAGCGTGAAGATTTTTACGCGAAGGAGATATGCGTTTTAATTATCGCGGTGCAGCCGTGTCGTTTTCAAGAATGAACTGATTTGCAAGAGAGGCTTAGCACTGATAGACGGAAAAAAGAGCGGAGTCATGTTCCTGTCGTTCTGCTCAGGGCAGAAATAAAATTCAAGAATTACTGCTAAGTCTATGCATATAAGACGTGGGATTATCTTCAGCCACGATCAAGATATCATGTAGCAAGTGAAAAAAGGGGAGTAAAAACTAGCGGAATCCGCTTTCGTCGTGCAATTTATTGTGATAATTTCTCAACGAATGAACACCATCGGTACGGTTCAACTTTGAAATTCGTACGAAGGTGTCGTGCAGGTTATTGTTAAAAAAAAAAAGGAACTAAGTATAGAATAAAATATCCGTTCTACGAATACCCCTATCGACGTACCGACTTCTCAGCTTTAAAGATAAAAAGAATCTCCTCCCTGCGCATGGTTGCACGGCGACGATCCACCCCTCGATCGCAATCCGTGTCAACGCAGAAAAAGGGGGCAAAATGCGAGGATTAAAAAGAACGGCGAAGAACTGCGGAGGCGAGGCACGGCGCGGCGCGGCGCCTCTCGACGCATTGGACCGTTTCGCGACGCGACGAAACGGTTAATTCGATTCGACGATCGCGAGCGGCGATAGCGAGCGTGTCGAGAGCCGACAACTATCAGGCGGCGCGCTAATTGCGTTCAAACGAACTGTCAGCGCGTCGACACGCAGGCTTAGATGCGCGCGAGTGAGCGCGCGCGTGCAAATACGCGCATTATGATTAATACCGTCACACGGTGCCCCGGGCGTCGGCTTGTCAGCGGCCAGCAATCAGGGGATACGCTAATTACGCTCTCACTCGTCCCTCCAACGTCTTTTTCCACTCCCTATCTCTCTCTCTCTCTCTCTTTGTCTCTCTTTATCTACGGATTCGTCGGAACGAAAAAACAGCAAGATGAGAAATTAATAATAGTTGCTCCGACTGTCGATTGCTCTTGGCATTAGTCACGCTTTTTTCTTCCTTTTGCCTTGGATTATTCTCTTCTGGTATGGTATCGAACGTGATCGTTAAATCGATCCTCTCGCCGAAAGATTCGACGGATCATCTCCGCGGGCGATCTCTCTCGTAATAGCGCTCACGTGATTTCAGGATTGAACGCGGGTGGGGAGAGAAGAAATGGGATAAATTGGTTAGTTCTCCTTTTCTTTTTTCTAGCCGTGAAGATACTCGCGTGATAATTGTGCGAGCTTAAAGGACGAACGGTCTAGACGAAAATTGTCGATGGAATGTGACAGAGGGACGGATAAATGGGTCTATTCGTTCCTCGAATTGCTGCCCGCTCGTGCCAAACGTCCTGACCCGAAAACAGACCCTACTAATGACCCTCTTGCGAAACGATACGGCCGCGATCGGAGGCCGGGCCCCGATCTGACGGCCTAACAAATTGCTCCCTGCCTTTCTCGTATCGATACGGACGAATCGTTCTTTTAACTCCGGTGTAACGATAGATGTGGTATGGTACGTAGTGATAGATCGTGTTTGTTTTATCGAGTGGCCAGGTGTAACAGCCTTTACTTAGTAAATGTAGTTTTGGTATAGTCGGTGGAAGGAATATGAGAAATAGGAGAAATATAGGATAAGGACTCGAAATCTCAGTTGAAGCTGCACGAAGTATAGCTCTGATTCAGTCTTAACTCTTTGCACTCTGAATTTCTTTTCGTTTCCTTTCCAATAACTCCGCGTTATTTTAAGTGTTTTATTTAAAATGTAAACAACTGCTTCGTTGCACGTATACGGCACATTTCTGTAACGATCGGACTTATTTGTTACAAAAATGTGTCATATAGGTATAAAAAAAATATTGCGAAATATAATACACATATTTAAACTGGCAATTGAAAAATGTCGTTACGACCCCGCTATATTTCTTCCTCCGACTATACCTTTTTAATCTACACCTTGAAAAGTCTTCAAAAAAATCTGAAAAAATTCACACAGCTTCCTCGAACATTCTAAACAACATTCCACTACTCAAGAGCGTTTTCTAGAAGACTGAACGAAACTCTGTTAATTATCAATTATCGAGAAGCTAATATGAAAACTGATTCGACTTGTTACCTTATTACACTCGAAATTGAAGGACACGACATAAATACGACTCTCGGTCTCGTTAAACATCTTCCTCGTCTCTCGTTGAAGAGAGAGAGGCTCCATCGAATAAAGAACGACAGCACCGGAGACCTCGTAAACTTTCCTCCTC